GGATCACGAGCGGTAAATCTCCAAACGCCGTAAAGCCAAATATGAATAAAAAATGCAAAGGCTGGTCATCTTTACGTCATTATTATTAAAAAACACAGGCGAGGCAATTGTCGCAACACTGTGTGGAATCCCTGTTGGGAAATCCAGCTTATCTGGTAGATGTTTTGGAACATGGTGGCAGGTCTAAGATGGTAATTAGCTGGTTGATCAGCTACTATGTAAAAAAAAAAAAAAAACACTTTGAGATGATATGACCCAGCTGGTAGCTGGTTTGTTGCTGGTTCACAATGGTCTACTAGTTCACATCAGCTGAGACCAGGACGGGACAAAAAGACATGCATGAAGCATGCAAAATGTGTCCTTAAATTAGCTTCCAGATCAAAGTGGAAATAGTCTCCCTGGGAGCTTGAATGATTAATTTTCCCAGAGCTGAAACTGAAACTGAAAAAAATGAATTTGCTGAAAATTGACATCCAAGACGTAGATACATTTTTCTTCATCGGAACAGATTTGGAAAAATGTAGCATTACATTACTTGCTCACCAATGGATCCACTGTAGTGAATGGGTGCCATCACAATGAGTGTCAAAACAGCTGATATAAACATCACAAAAATCCACAAGTAATCCACACGACTCCAGTCCATCAATTAACGTCTAGTGAAAAGCTGCATTGTTGTATATTTTCTGCAAATTTTCATTTTTTTGGGTGAACTATTCCTTGAAGTCTGCTGAAGCTGAAGAGATCATTCATCTAAAGGCTGACCAGGCAGGTGTTGTTAAGATATAGGTCATTAATAAAATGAAACTGATGGCGCTATCCAGAAGTGTCTATTAATTTGCTTTCATGTATTAAGTTGATAAGAACATAAAATTACAAATAAATCTTTTTGGTGTAGTTATAAATTGCAATGCAGATACATATCTAAACTAAATTAATAACACAGCCTAACAAAAAAACAAATCGCTCAGTGTACTGCAATACTGGAGACATCCTCACCATCTGCGTCATTTACTAGAGCATGCATTAAAGGCAGCTCACATCAGTTTCAAATAAGAACTAAAATCATTTCATTATCTCAGTATAGTGACCTTCTTTATCAAACTAATTATGCAGTAAAAATCTCAAATGTAAGAATGCAGGATATTAATGCTGGTGGTTCATACAAATGATTGCAGACCCTCATCCATCAACTGCTACACAACCACATTAATGAAAAAAGGACCATCTCTTTAAAACCACTTTATGTAGAGAGGGAAGTGCAGATTAGTTTGCATTTTTCAATGCAAAACTCATTGGGTTGTAATTGTAACTATAAAATGTGATAAAATATAACTAGAATATGCTCCAAAACTCAGTTATGTTAACAACAATGCATTTCATATAAAATTGTATAAAGTTCATTAAAGAAACAATTCAAGATTTTTCTGTTTTATCTTTTTATATTCAATCTATTCCCAAGACAAATAATCTTCATCAATATTTTATAAACTTACCCAGTTAAAATGTTTTATCTCTCTTAATATTCCTTAAACATAGCAATGTAACAACATTCTGCATTTGAGATGCTTCAAATTAAACATGGAGAAACATGACAAAACACAAAGTGTAGGTGAATTCCTATTACAACAGCAAAATTAGTGGTTATTGTAGTGAACAGTATAAAGGGGTGAAAACATATACAATACACAAGGGTCCACCTCCACGTGTGTTGCTGGCAACAGCATCACCAATGCTATATTTGCTCTGCTAGTCCAAGTAACACTTAACACAAATTTCCATTGGAAATTTGAGAGCAGAGACTTTAACACATGGATTGTGATTGCAATTTTGTGTCTTTAAGCAAGGTAACAGTTGTGGTGGTCATAAAGGGGCGGTCACACAACACTTTTCAATTTCATTCATATGCACGTGAACGCGGGAGACCGGAAGAGCAAGCTCATGCAAATCATTTTTGCATTCTGGGGTGTTCAAAAAATTCAAATTTTTTGGTCAACTCTGACCTGCAAATTCCTATTTTGAAGACATGCCACCAACAGAAGAAAGACACATCATGATGTGACCTCTTAGTCTTAGCTGAATAAAAAGAACACAAACTTTAAAGTTGAAGGTTTGCAGAGTTGCAGGAAAAGGGAGTAGACTGTATGTTGTTGTTTTTTCCATTTCGGATAATGTTACATTTTTTTTATTTTTAAAGTCTAGTTTGACCACAGGTTAAGGCGTATTAATGGAAATGCTCATGTGCGCAGTTTTAAGCCATTAAAATGCCTTTTCTTTATTATAAAGATCCTTAAAGTGAAAGGAATAGTTCACCCAAAAATTAAGAGTCACTATTTACTCCCCTCTTGTCCCAAACTGTGTGACTTATTTTTTTCTGCAGAACACAAAAGATATTTTGAAGAATTGACAACCAAATCATTTCGGTGACTTTCATTTGATAAAAAAAAACAAAAACAAACAAACAAAAAACTTTATTTTGTTTTCTACAGAAGAAAACAAATCATACATTTTTGGAATGACACGAGGGTCTATGATGACAATTTTCAATTTTGGGTGAACTATCCCTTTCAAAACTGGGAGGTAAGAGGATAATTGAACATGAGCTTACTTCATGGAGGAACCGGTAAGCTCAGGTGTTTGTGGTAAACATCACATGCTTTCACTTACGTCTCTTGGTTACTACACATTCATGGCCAAAAGTTTTGGCAGTGACACAAATTTTGTGTTTTGCAAAGTTTGCTGCTTCAGTATTTGTAGATTATTTTTCCATTATTACATGTTTCTATTGTATACTGAAAAACAATGATAAGCATATCATAAGTTTTAAAGGCTTTTATTGGCAAAAAAATGTAATGAGTCAATATTTACAGTGTTGACCCTTGTTCTTCATAACTAACTAACTGCAATTCGCTCTGGCATGCTGGATATTAGCTTCTGGGCCAAATCCTGACTGATGGTGATCCATTCTTGCCTTATTAGTTCTCGGAGTTGATCACAATTTGTTGGAAGAAGTCACTCTTGCAGGACGTTTTGATACCATTCTTTATACATGCCAGTGTTTTTGGGCAGAATTATTGCTGGACACTCTGGGACATCCTGAAGACTTCTTCACTGCAGTCGAACCTCTCTCCTTGAAGTTCTTGATGTTTCGTGAAATTTGTTTACTCAAATACTTAGCGAAACAAAGCCAGTTTTTTTTTGTTTGTTTTATTTAGTTTTTTTGTGAAAAGTTCATTTTTTGGCCAATGAAGCTTTTAGCAATTATTTAAAATGCATCTGATCACTTTACACAATAATCTAGAAACAATGTGAATGAACACCACAACAGCTTAAGCAGCAAACTTTGCAAAACACAAAATTTATGTCACTGGCAAAACATTTGGCCACGACTGTAGTGGAAAAAAAAAACCTTGACATTTCGATCATTTGATTCTGGGCGCCATGCATTAAAAAAAATCTTTATTACAACCCCCCCCCTTTAATCTGGAAAACTGTTTCACTCACAGGGGCGCAGGAGAGTAGCTATAAAAGTAGGACAGCAGGATAGAGCATGATTCCTATAACCAAACATAAGGACAACAGGTACGTCCACACTGACATTTAAAAAATATTGCAGCTGTTCCTTTTTTTCCCTAATACCATCTACTCATTACACTCCATGAGGTACAGCATATCGACTTCCCAATCCATCAAGGGTGGTCCTAGAGTTTCTCCACACTCACTCAAATGGAAATTCAGGTGGGTTTTAAAGGGGTCATATGATGCGATTTCAATTTTTCCTTTCTCTTTGGAGTGTTACAAGCTCTTGGTGCATAAAGAAGATCTGTAAAGTTGCAAAGACTAAAGTCTCAAATCCAAAGAGATATTCTTTATAAAAGTTCAGAGTCAGCCACGCCTACCTAAAACGGCTCATTCTAACACGCCCCCACATGTCTATGTCACGATGTGGGAAGATTTGCATAATGCCGCCCACATGTTCACGCAGAGAAAGAAGGTGTAACTTTTATTCTCCCTGTAGTATTGTTGCTGCCGCCTCCGCCATGCTGTGGAGACGCTGTGCGTTTCATTATGAAAGTGAAACTACTTTGTTGGCCTTCCAAAAGAGGACACAACTAGAAATCAGTGGTTAAGTTGTATTTACAAAACTATTCCAGAACACTTCAACCCAAATATTCAGATGTGTGCTGCACATTTTATGGAGGA